GGTCTCAGGGTTTGGGGTTTGGGGTTTTGGGGTTTTGGGGTTTAGGGTTTGGGGTTTTGGGGTTTTGGGGTTTAGGGTTTTGGGTTTGAGGGTTCGGGGTTTCAGGGTTTGGGGTTTGGGGTTTGGGGTTTGGGGTTTACGGGTTCAGGTTTCGGTTTAGGGTTTAGGGTTTTGGGGTTTTGGGTTTAGGGTTTGGGGTTCGTGCAGGCCTGAAATACTGCTGTTCAGGTTCAGTGCATAGCAGTTTGGGCGCTGTGGGGTTGGATAAACCGTAAACCCTCCAGCCCTGGCGGTTGAGGGCTTTTTGGGACTGAGGGCTTTGCGGTGATTTCAAGGCTTCTTGCTCTCAGCGTATAGCAGAACCTTAGCGTTGAGGACTTTAGGATTTAATGTAGGGACATTAATAATTAGAACAGGGTTTAGGGCTGCTTTATAGTATAATGATAGTAAGGAACCTAAGGAACAATATAGGAAGTTATTTAGGCTTCTACACTAGGGTGCTTTGTGCTTTCTGCAAAGCCTCCTCCCTCCCCTTAAAGGCTAACGATTCCGCAGGGGTTTTGGGGTTTTAGGGCTTTAGGGTTTTAGGGCTTTAGGGCTTTAGGGTTTTAGGGTTTTAGGGTTTTAGGGCTTTAGGGCTTTAGGGCTTTAGGGCTTGGGGTTTAGGACGCAGAAAACCTTCAACCCCACGTCATGCTTCGCCAACCTGAAGTGAGCCCTAAACCCTACAACACTTCGACCTAAGCGTCTTCAAACAGAAACACGCGACATTCAGAGACCCCAATTAAGCTCCTTAACCCCTGAGCTGCGGTTTAGGGTTTAGGGTTTAGGGTGCAAACACAATAGAACCCATCAAGCCAGGCCAGTGCGCAGTTGTTAGGTGGGTCGAACTGGCGGAAAAGAACTTGCTCGCGCCGCTCCTGTCATCTGTAGACAGCTTTGGAGTTCAGGAGTGTGTCGAGTTTGAGTGTTTAGTCTTCCTACTCCTAATAAGATTGTTTATCATGATGATCATGATGATGACTATTACTACGACTACTACTACTACTACTACTACCACCACCACCACCACCACCACCACTACTACTACTACTTCTGCTGCTATTGCTGCTACGGCTGCTACTGCTGCTGCTATTGCTACTGCTACTGCTACCTGCTACTGCTACCGCTACTTCTCCTCCTCCGCCTCCTCCGGCTCCTTCTCCTCCTGCTGCTGCTATGAGCACGACAAAATACCACCATCACTATTAGTACTACTCATACTACTTGGCACTACTATACTAGTACTGCTGGTAGTACGTGTACCATTACGACTAGTACTACCAACCACTTGCACTACTGCTGTTGCTGGTTTGTTCCCTGAACCGTGACGCTTGAAACCTCAAGCACCAATCCTTAAACTGTAAACCCACAACAGCAATGCCCTACACCAAAGACATAACTCCCAGACCAGGCACACGCAAAAATCTGAACCCCGAACCCTAACCACCCAAAGCAACAAAATACATCCGTTATAAGCTTGGCTAAGCGGTACAACCTAAACAGTTGGTCCTCGATTTTCGTACACCCGCGCGAGGCCAGCTCTTTGATCAGCCCAGGGGAATTGCGCTCCAGGTCCTCTGAGGAGGCTGTCCAAGGTTGAGAGTAGAATGAAACGATAAACAAACACAAAAACGAATCCAATCATACTCTTCACCTTCATACTAGAAACAATAAGAAAACCGAATGGCAAGATTGTTAAAAATCACAACCCAATAATGATACCGTAGTAGTAATAGTAGTCGTCGTTTTCTCGACGTCGTCGTCGTCGTAGTAGTAGTCGTCGTCGTCGTCGTAGTAATAGTAGTAATACTAGGAGTAGTAGTAGTAGTAGTAGTAGCAGCAGCAGCAGCAGTAGTAGTAGGCGTAGTAGTAGCAGTAGCAGGAGCAGTAGCAGTAGCAGTAGTAGTAGTAGTAGTAGTAGTAGTAGTGGTAGTAGTAGTAGTAGTAGTAGTACTAGAAGAAGAAGTAATAGAAGTAGTAGTAGTAGTAGTAGTAGTAGTAGTAGTCGTTGTCGTCGTCGTAGTAGTAGTAGTAGTAGTAGTAGTATTAGTATTAGTATTAGTATTAGTATTAGTATTAGTATTAATATTAGTATTAGTATTAGTATTAGTATTAGTATTAGTATTAGAATTAGAATTAG